TATTTATAAAAAAATCAAGCAAAAAAATTAAATGTCAATGCCAAAGGAACTGATCAAATTTAGACCTTGCGAAGTTTCACGCTCTTAGCTATTCATATATCTGTTAACCCATACTGTTTCAGTTTTCAACAAGCTGGATGGCGACGTTGCTAAGGAAAGTTTTCGGTTTAAGAAACATGTTTGAAAAGTGAAAGGTGAAAACATTAGCCAAATCTTCGTGAATCTTGCTCATTATTTTGGACGAAATAAACATGTCAGTGTTTTAATTTTAATTTTTGCATGCTGACTCATAAATTAGAGAGTGAACCTTCTGGAATAAACTGTGTTTCTAAGTTTACTTAACCTGCCGTTTGGAATTTTTTATTGAATTTTGCCATCAGATCATTAATCTTACAGATGGGGTAAGTTCTAAAATTCAAAACTTAAGCATTTTCCATTTAGAATCTTAAACGTGGATAAAACTCAAGTAAATGTGTTCAACTTTAAAATTAGCATTTGGAAGTGAGAACAATAGAAATAAGCTCAGCAATTTACAATACATTGACACGAATTTTCTGCAAGACTCTAGTGAGAGATAAAAAAAATGTTTTGATGCCAGAAAAAAATAGCTTTCTAATCCTGCAAACTTAGAGCAAGTTCTTTGCAGATTAGAATCTAGACACGGAAATGTCCCTATTCTTATCTTCCGTTCATAAATATATCTTAAAGTCATTGTAAAACTGAAATAAACGAAAATTCTTTAAAGTTCCCCATCAGCATGTTTTTGCATTATTTTCTAGAGCATACAGGTCTCTGATCACCATCAATCGGTTATTTTCCATTGTCCTTCGCAAGACTTAAAGATACGTTCGCGGCAGCTGCCTTGATAAACAATGTCAAATTTTAGTTCAACTGAGAACAGCGAGAAAAAGATCTCCTTGGGACATCAAAGAAACCTAATGCATTGAGTCGCGGATCTGAGCTGTACCTGGAATACACCGTTTGATCGCTCCACGGAATAGTCATGTCCAAGGTTGTAATGTTGTTTTGGGGAATATGCGAGCCGTAAACATTGTAATAAGCTTGTTCGTATTGTCTTTTGAACATTGCTGCATCTTCACCTCCTCGTGCATATTCACTCAAGACAGCAGGAGTTAACACAATGGAGCTTCGTCTTTGTCGGAAAGGTTCTGAGTAGCTTCTCGGTCGATTACAGTGAAGCGAAGACGAATTCATTTCCGAACAACTGCAGACCATTTCCTTACG